TACAGTATCTACATAATGTCTTATAATGAACAGTAAATTTCAAACTTCATTTATATAGTCCTACTAGTAAATTTCAAACTTTATATATACAGTCCTACAGATCTTATCAGGAAACAGAAAATTTTCAAATAAATCTGTCACTCCAATGATTATCATATGCTAAGATATAACCCAGTTCTAATTAATAATTAATAATGTAATTAACTTCAAAATGTCTAATAATATAGGTTATAATCATCACCACTTAGGAAATAGAAAATTTTCAAATAAATCTGTCACTCCAATTTTTATTGTGAGATAAGACATTATTCTTAGTCATAATATGATACAAGAGAGAAAAATATTTTAAAATACCAATGTTGGACATTAAAAATGGCGATAACTCAAAAAGGAGAAATACTAAAATCTTGAAAATTGAACTAGACCTTCATTAAGTCCCAGGAAACAACATATTTAAATTTGAAAAAAAATTGTTAAAGTGTTTTCATGTTATTGTGGAGACGCTGTTTGGCAGCCGCCCGTCCAGCCGCCCGACTGCCCGCCCTACATCCCCAATTTAATAACCTATATTTCCTTCGAAAATCCGGTTAAAAATCAAAACATTATTCTGATAAAAACATATTAAGAGGAGCATAATAACAGAATATGGATAAAGATTTTGAAAAAAATTTTCATTTTTTTTCTAAGAATATCAATGATGTCATTGTTCAAGTAATTTTTATAAATGGAGTTATCTTCCTTTGTCCATGATTATAGTTGAATCAACTACAATCAATGCTTTATACAATGCAATGTTTAAGTTTGCCTTCCACTGATAAAACACAGATCAAGTTGAATTTGGGTAGTGTCACTTTAACCATTCTTGAGTTATGCTCCTTTATAAGTCGAAAAATTGCAAATTTTTTAGTTTCCATTCTGTAACTTAAGTTTGCCCCAACCAAACATGAAACCTGTACACAATACTTATTACCACAAAACTAAGATCAAGTGCAAATTTGGGTAGCGTCACTTTTATTGTTCTTGAGTTATGTCCCTTTATAATGTTGTATGCAAGCAGGGGCATCATCTGTGTCCATGGGGACACATTCTCCATTTATTTGAAAGAGATATGCCCCTTGGGAATATAAAATATGTGCAACGCGGGGGACATTGGAACTCTGTTCTTTTATGTATCTGCATCTACTGAACTGCTTTACCAAATTTTATGGATCTTTGACAGAATCCTAGTCACATGATGTACTTTTGCACCTCCTATTTCATTTCTCCATGTGAATGAATTTTAGAGTTCACTTTAGTATGGCATATCTGTACACTATGTGACTTAAGTGCACATTGTATTGAACTCATTTGATCCCCTTGTCATAATTTAAAGAACTCTCTTAGAAATTGTGCACCTCCTATTTTGTTTTTATTCCGAATTATTTTTTGTGTTTCCATTTGATACCAAAGCATGGAGTTTACGTTTTCATTATTTAACTCTAGAACAGTTAAGTGACGCCACCAAAATTCAAACTTGATCTGTGTATTGTGGTAATAAGCATTTTGTATAAGTTTCATAACATTTGGTTGAGGCAAAATAAAGTTAGAGAACGGAAATGAAAAATTTTGCAATTTTTCCATTTATAAAGGAGCATAACTCTAGAACCGTTAAAGTGATGCCACCAAAATTCAAATTTGATCTGTGTTTAGTGGTAATAAGCATTGTGTATAAGTTTGATAACATTTGGTTGAGGCAAACTTTAGTTAGAGAACGGAAACCAATTTTACGGACAGACGGACAAAGATAAAACTTAAATGCCCCCTCCGCTTCATCCACCATTATAGAACAGGTCCGAGATATTGCTGAAATGAACCTATAGTATAAATTTTATAAAAATCTGGCAAGAATTTTACCCGTGATAGCGTTAACGAGGCCATTTTCCATAAATTTAATATTTCCAAGGGGCATAACTCTTTTAAAAGAAGATTGACCACCATTATAGAATTTGTCTGAGATATTGCTGATTGCTGATATTAACCTATAGTAAAAGTTTTTTTTAAATCTGGCAAGAATTGTTCCTGTGAGAGCGCTAACAAGACCAGATGGACGGACGCCCGGTAATTACGTTCCCCGCAACGCGTTACACAGGGGACAAAAATTTGGCAAGAAGGACGAACAGATATAAAATAAGACGTGGTATGATTGTCAATGAGACAACTCTCCACAAGAGACCAAATGACACAGACATTAACAACTATAGGTCACCGTACGACCTTCATCAATGAGTAAAACCCATACTGCAAAGTCTGCTATAAAAGGCCTCGAAATGACAAATGTAAAACAATTCAAACGACCTGATTAATTTACAAAGGGACAACTGGTGTATACATAAACTTTGATCTTTCACTTTATGAATAAAAGGAGATATAATCTTTTGTATATATAAAAAGACCTACCTATATCCTTTCTTTTCTTTTAGGCAATATCAATAATGCACATTCATAAAATATTTTAATATTAGTAACATATGAAATAGCAAACAATAAACTTAATACATAAACATGTAATGGTATTAATTGAAATAAATTAGGTGAACAAATACAACATGTACATGTAAATGTTATACTGAATTTCATAATATCTAAAATGACCAATAAATATGTTGTCACTTTAAATTCAGAACATTTTATTATATTTTTGTTATTGAGAAGAATTCTATAGGATAAGTATAGCATTTATTAGAACTCTCTAACAACAATGGTATAAATATATTCACATGCACAATATCTTAATATGTAATTATCTATAATATTGTTCAAATATTTTCAGGAAATGATAAATTTTGATTGTCATTCATTTAAAAAATAACTTGACAACATATTAATTTACCAGTTATAAACATCTGAATTAACAATATACTGTGAACAAACTTAATTTTTGTGAATACTTTTTTCCACATTTATCCTTATCTAGCTAATTTCAAGGCTATTTATTTTCACAATTTTCTAACTTTTTGTTATGTCTTCATATATTGGGAGATCCAAGTTTGACATGTACATGTATAGGGGTTATTTTCTACTCAAGAAAGTTGCGTAAACAAATAAATTGCAAACAAAATATAATAATATACTTGATACTCATAAATCATTATTATAGACCAATTCCATAGGGACATAACAACTTCACCAGTTCTTGCTGAATAATGTATACAGGGAAATTTTCATGTTTGTCTATTTTTTCTTTTTTCCAGGTAGACATCTAACTGTGAAACTAACCTTTACACAAACATTTCAGTGTTCATTGGAACACATTGTACAAGTCCATAAACCTAAGTAATAAACATAGCAAAGATTTAACTGTCTAAACTAAGGCTAAAACTAGGAATAAAACCCAACACAAAAATTACAAGATATATATAGTATAACCCTGACTTAGCATTCTAATTAACAGTGATTCTGGTAATCCTTGGAAGTGTCTGTGGTCGACTCAAACTCTTGCCGGTAACCTATTTATATACCTGTAAATATCATATTTTAAAAAAAACTTACATAACATATAAATTAGTTTTTTCATCCCATTTTTAGTCACATTTTTACCCACAGCATGTTTTAGATATTTATTTTGGTAAATTTTTTTTTTAGATATTATGATATCTAAGCCAATATTACTGAGTTGCTGAACAACACTATGTTGTCAGAATTTTTAAGAATTATAAAAAAAACATATTTTGTGAATAATATTTTAAGGGAAATAAAATATAAGGTAAGGTTAGACAACAGTTTTGTTTATGTCTCAAATTCTTATTTTCATTTGTAACTGAATTGTATTGACAGCAATCTCTGTCCAGATATTGAAAATGAAATATATGATCCAAACTTAAAAATTCAAACCAAAATTAAAAAAAAAATTGGCAGTGTCTAGATTTTGTTACAGCAAACATCAAAACAAATCAAAATAAAAAAAGAATGTGTCCAAGGACACAAATGCCTCCGCTCAAGCTTCAAAACAAACGAAAATAGGACTGCAGATGGACAGAAGGACAGAAAGGCGGAAGGACGGATGGTCAAGGGTAACACTTAATGCCACCGACACCGTAGCATAAAAACAAAATCATTTGTTAAAGAGGAGTCGATACAGTTTTCTAATTAGAATGTAATTTTTTTGTGATTTTGTGAGATATTGTGGATCAGAATGTAATCTTAGAAAAAGACACCTTTCAATGTTTTCTTAAACTGGTATTTTTGGCAAAAAAATAGCTAAATTAGTTTTGGTTACAAGCTCTGATAAAGATGCATTAGGCAAAAAAAAATTACATGTCAGCAGATCTGAGTCTGTAAGACAAGGTTTTGCTACATGTATCACATAATCTTACGAACATGTTCACCTTACAATCATTTCATACACCAAATATAGATGACCTATTGCTTATAGTATCTGAGAAATGGACCTAACAATCACTGATTCATTAAATGAAGTTAAGGTTTAATAGGTGAACCCCATCTGAGGAACATGTACCTATATACCAAATATGGATGTCTCATTATTCATAATAAAAAAAAAACGGTGTGATAAAATAACTATAGTTTTTTTAGCAGTCACTTAACCTTGAAAATGAGGTCAAGGATAACAGACAGAAACTTCAGTGCATAGAACATAATGCATCTGTATACAAAATATCAGGTATCCAGGTCTTATACCTTACGAAATGTATAGTTTTGAACAAATAGTTTATGCCACATTAACTTCCCTTTGTCTTGCATTTTGGCAAGGCAGACAAAACTAGTAACAACAGGATGCAGAAGATTCATTTTCAAATTAACAGTTGTATTTTTACTCCCCTTAAAAGGAGCTAAGAATGTAAAGTGAACACACATGAATGAATGAATGAATGAAAAAAATAAACAAACAAGAACACATGACCAACCGTGAGTACATTCCTAAACACTCATCCATTAAACAGCTTGGAATAAGAGTATTTATCTACTAATTGGTATGTGTTCTTACATTCAAATGAAAACTGATATACCATGATAAAAATCTAGTATTGATTGTGAAACAAAAAAGCTGCTTAATATATAAATGTTGTTTACATTGCATGTTTTGCGTAATTTAGTATCTGAATGTAATATACGACAAGAATGCAAAGCAAACCCCAACACCTAATTCCTATTTCTGATACATTGATCTATATGAGCTGTGCAAGACTCGTTTTTCATAGTATTGGAAAACAGGAATTAGGTGTCTAACAGATGAAAAACAGGCATATATATTAAATCTCATCAAAGTTGAAGCACTGACTTAAAATGAAGTCATTCTGTTCAACAGTATTGGAGAAATGTGTGACAATTTTTTTTAAGTTCATTAAAAAAATTGATAAAGTATTGGCAAACAGGAAGAAGTTAACTGATGGATCAAAAAAGTGCCTTATGTAACAGTGACTCTCAAACTTCTGACAAAAAAAAACCTTTTTAGTAGTTTCTGAAAAAAGTAACCCAAAAATATTTGTTGTATGAAAGGACAGACAGATGGACAAACTGATAAACAAACAAGGTGATCACAATATAGTCCCTTGCCTAGAGTATGTGGAGGTATAATTTATCAGTTAAATGTTACTACATAATATATGTGCATTTTTGTTACAAAAGACTTTTAGAAGTATGAGAAATACACAGTGAACTTTCATATTTGAACTTTAAATAAAAATAAAAAAGTACAAATCCAAATGAACAGCTGAACTTTGTACAATGATGTAAATACCCTGAAAAAAAACAATGACTTACATGAAACATCTTCTAAATGATCTGTCTTTACATTCAATCTCTGTTGGGTATAATCTTTATGTCAACAATTATTTATAGACATACCTTGTTTTGAAATATTCAAGTTTCAGATATTCATCTACTTGTTTAAAATTGTAAAATAAAAAATAACAAAATATTACAAAAACAATATAAAAAAAACAAAAATAAACAAAAACCCATATAAATTACCCAAGCTATCAATGTATTGAGCTTTAAATACTCTGGTAATAATGCATTTGTTGTTGCATGTTTTCAGTAGTAAACTGTTAACGCAGAGATATGTCTGACCTTTTTGTTATTTTGATAGTAAAATGCAACAATGAAATCAAACTAACAATACTTCAACATGGAAGTTATACAAAATATTCAAAGTCAATGAACCATGACCGAAGGTACAGGGCCAAACAATCTTCATGGAAATGAGATTTGTCAACTGCATACCAAATATCATTGACCTACCAATAGTGGTTCCCTATGAACTGAACTAATCACAAACTAATACATTGTTGACGCCACTGCCGGAAACAGCATACCTATGTCTCGCTTTTTGACTCCATCAAGGCGAGACAAAAACTGAAAAAAACATCAATCATATGTGCATAGTGTCAAAAAGTTAGACGTACAATTAATTACATATGAGATTTTTTACAACTTGTGAGATCTGTGTGTGCTTGTATGGTTTTTTGGACAGATCTATCTAATTCAAGCATTATACACTCTTACTACAAATACTACAAAGCAGATAAAAGATTTCCCACAGATTACAGATTTACAGAGGTAGTGACTGATTACATTCATATTTAATTTAATATCATGTGGTGATACATGTATTTGAGAAAAATTTTCTAATTTACATGAATGAGATTTCATACATGTATCAACCAAATTATAAGTCTGACTAATACCAGAAATGATTGTCTAGTACAGACTGTCATGTTAATTCCAACTAAACGTTAACTACACAGACTTTTACTAGTATCAGCTAAACACAGATATGTTATGGAATGAATAACCATTTCTTCCTGTAGCTGCCAAATATATGTATGTCACATGGTACACTGAAATAGACAAAAACAACATTATACATGTTATAATAAAATGCTTCGCTGGGGCGCAGCTTGATACGACCGCAGAGGTCGAACCCTGAACAGTTGGGGCAAGTATGGACACAACATTCAAGCTTGATACAGCTCTGAATTTGGATTGCTATTAAATATTTGACACAGCATAGGTTTCTGACACAGAAAGAATGTGGTCTAAGAACTTGAATTTTTTTAATTTACCTATTATGGTCCAATGTCCAAAATCAAAATACATGGTTAGATTCAGCATATCAAAGAACACCATATATTCAATTTTTGTTAAAATCAAACAAAGTTTAATTTTGGACCCCAACTTGGACAAACTTGAAAACTGGGCCCATAATCAAAAATCTAAACACATGTTTAGATTCAGCATATCAAAGAACCCCAAGAATTCAATTTGTGCTAAAATCAAACTAAGTTTAATTTTGGACCCTTTGGACCTTAATGTAGACCAATTTAAAAAACGGGACTTAAAATTAAAAATCTAAATACACGGTTAGATTTGGAATATCAAAGAACCCCAATAATTCAATTTTTGATGAAATCAAACAAAGTTTAATTTTGGACCCTTTTGACCTCAATATGAACCAATTTGATAGCGGGGCCCACAAATAAAAATTCTAAATTCATGGTTAGATTCAGCATATCAAAGAACCCCATATATTCAATTTTTGTTAAAATCAAAAAAAGTTTAATTTTGGACCCCAACTTGGACCAACTTGAAAACTGGGCCCATAATCAAAAATCTAAATACATGTTTAGATTCAGCATATCAAAGAACCCCAAGAATTCAATTTTTGTTAAAATCAAACTAAGTTTAATTTTGGACCCTTTGGACCTCAATGAAGACCAATTTAAAAAACGGGACCCAAATTAAAAATCTAAAAACACGGTTAGATTTGGCATATCAAAGAACCCCAATAATTCAATTTTCGATGAAATCAAACAAAGTTTAATTTTGGACCCTTTTGACCTCAATATGAACCAATTTGATAGCGGGGCCTACAAATAAAAAATCTAAATACATGGTTAGATTCAGCATATCAAAGAACATCATATATTCAATTTTTGTTGAAATCATACAAAGTTTAATTTTGGACCCCAATTTGGACCAACTTGAAAACTGGGCCCATAATCAAAAATCTAAATACATGTTTAGATTCAGCATATCAAAGAACCCCATATATTCAATTTTTGTTGAAATCAAACAAAGTTTAAATACTGGACCCTATCTTGGACCAACTTGAAAACTGGGCCCATAATCAAAAATCTAAACACATGTTTAGATTCAGCAAATCAAAGAACCCCAAGAATTCAATTTTTGTTAAAATCAAACAAAGTTTAATTTTGGACCCTTTGGACCTCAATGTAGACCAATTTAAAAAACAGGACCCAAAATTAAGAACCTAAATACACGGTTAGATTTGGAATATCAAAGAACCCCAATAATTCAATTTTAGATGAAATCAAACAAAGTTTAATTTTGGACCCTTTTGACCTCAATATGAACCAATTAGATAACGGGGTCCACAAATAAAAAATCTAAATACATGGTTAGATTCAGCATATCAAAGAACCCCATATATTCAATTTTTGTTGAAATCAAACAGTTTAATTTTGGACCCCAATTTGGACCAACTTGAAAACTGGGCCAAAAATCAAAAATCTAAATACATGTTTAGATTCAGCATATCAAAGAACCTCATATATTCAATTTTTGCTAAAATCAAACAAAGTTTAATTTTGGACCCTTTGGACATTAATGTAGACCAATTTGAAAACTGGACCCAAAATTAAAAATCTAAATACACTGTTAGATTCGGCATAACAAATAAATAAATGTGATCAAAGATTTTACAAATCTAATGCGCCATACTGTGCAATTAAAGATTACTTCTTGAAATTTTTCAATATTTGAAATTTGAAAAAAAAATAATATTTGAAGAATAATTCTTTTTAATTTCTGAAATCTGAAATGAGAAAAAATTGGCCCCCCACAATTTCTTTTTATCCCCCCCCCCCCCCCTTTTTCCCCCAAAAAAATTCTTTCCCTCAAGATATGGTCATAATCTCAATTCAAATTTCCAATGGAGTTGGCAACCATAATTACCCATTTAAATTTACCATAGTGCTAACTTAATCTATTTTATAATAGAATTAATAAAAATATAGTGTCAAATCTTTCATATGGATTTTTTTGTAAAAAAAAAAGATGAAAACATTTGCAGATATTTTTACTGGTCTTCCTTTATAAATATGCATTTTTTTAAACATAATTTAAAAGCAGAGTAAGGGAAGTAACCAAAACGTTGTATTTGGATTACCTCCCTTACACTGTTTTAGATTATCTTTATTGTTCATTAACCATTACTTTATACATAATTTAAAAGCAGTGTAAGGGAGATAATTTCAATGATGTATTTGATTTATCTCCCTTACACTGCTTTAAATTATGTTTTGTACTAAAGTATTTGTCCATTAACCAGGACAACCTTGTTTTTCCCCCTTTTTTGCCCCTAATTCCTAAACGGTTTGAGCCATAACCCCCCAAAGCAAATCCTAACCATCCCTTTGTGGTATGGAAACTTGTAGTATAATTTCAGAGAGATCCATACACCGTTCCACAGTTATTGTCTGGAAACTAGAAAATGCTCATTTTTGGCCCCTTTTTGGCCCCTAATTCCTTAACTGTTGGTACCATAACCCCCAAAATCAATCCCAACCTTCCTTTTGTGGTATTTAACCTTATGGTCAAATTTCAAAAAGATCCATTCACTTAAACTAAAGTTAGAGTGCGAAAACCAATATGTATTCGGACGACGACGCCGGACGACGACGACGACGACGCTGGACGACGACGACGACGTCGACGACGACGACGACGCCAACGTCATACCAATATACGACCACAAAATTTTTTTGCGGTCGTATAAAAATGATAAAGTAAAGGCTTTATAAACTAAAACTAAAAAGGCCAAAATAAACAAGATTATGACAGATTAGTCCGTGTCCTCCATTGATATATATATGAATTTTCAATATCACTTACATTACCAAAGAGCATATACTTTACTCCAAATATATGATCATGGCTGATTTACGAACTTGTCCGACATATTGATGATGTTAAATTTGACATTCTAATATGATGTTCTTCAAAAGTACACAACCATAGTTAAATACGAACATATTCATATGTCTGCTGATCTGCAACGTCGTGATTTGTTTAGGCTGTTCCAATCATACTCCTACATCATATGCTTTTACTAAATGAGTTACCATCGTTAGCCAATGCAAAGTCAGAAGGTTTAAATGACGTCATTATGAATGTAAGCATTCTACAGGAAAATGCACAAATGTGAAAAGGATAGTCAACAAAAGATGATAAAAATTTGTTGAAAGCCCATTTTCTCAAACAAAAGTGAGATAATCATATTTAACTACATTCAAACATGTCTTTTGCGTCAATATAAATACTGTTCAATTACGGAACAGCTAATATTTCCATTCACCTAAAGCACTTCCATCCAAATGAATTACGACTTTCCGTCTATCAGTGACTATCAGAATAGAAATAATTCATGGGGGCTTGAAGTTATATTGATTTTGCCAAGGTTTGGCCCATTATGCCGATCGCACAAGGTAAAATATTTGGTATAAAGGGCCAACCTGTGGTTAACTCAATATAAATTCAAGCCCCTTTTAATTATTTCTTAATTGATTTTAATCTCTGAATACAAATGTAGGAGTGAGAGAGCTAATAAAGCTAATCTTCTATTACCTCTATACTACCAAGGGAATATCGGCCCCAAAAACAAAATTTGATCGACTCTAATTTCAAGAACTTGTCCATAATTATTTTGGAAACCTTTGACATAAATTTTATGAAAATTTTGATCAGAAATATAGCAGAGAGCACTAACAAAGTTGATTTTCCATATCATTCACATTTCAAAGAGCAAAACTCAAAAATAAATAATGGATCAGAGCAGATTTTCAAGCTAATCCAACATATTCGTGATGAAAACATTTAACATAATTTTCATTAATCTTTTATTTGACATTTAAATTAATGACTTTTAATATCATTTAAATTACCAAGGGACATAACTCCCAATGAAATGATTGATGCGTGATGAGATTCTGCTGATATAAACTATAATACTTTTATAGCTGACTATGGGGTATGGGTTTTGCTCATTGTTGAAGGTAGTACGGTGACCTATAGTTGTTAACTTCTATGTCATTTGGTCTCTGGTGGAGAGATGTCTCAATGGCAATTATACCACATCTTTTATTTTTATATAAATCTTTGATACCCCAATACCACATTCCCCTTTATGATAAATAGTCTATTTTTTTCATTTAGAGGACACAAAACATCTGACATATCTCCAAGTTTTGTTGTTATCACTACCAAGGCAAGGTTTCAAATTTTTTAAAACCAATCATTTTATAGTTCTCTTTAAATGCATGATAAGGCAACCATCATTGAACAATGTTAGCTCCCCATCCCTCCTGCAAACGCAACAGATATTGATCTTTCCTGCTGATACATTATGTGATACAAGCTAAGTTTGCTATGTTTTCATTCTGGCAAAAACAGTGATGGGAAAGGATTTGCAAAAGTTAAACTTGCATTTTTTAAGTTTGATAGCATTATTTGTGTGTTGCATTTCCTCAAATCACAATAATGAACATGATGAATCTGACAATTCTAACCGTTGGTCAAAAATCCCGGTCAAAAATCCCAATTAAAAATGCAATTAAAAATGTCTGAATTAACCATACATAAACTTACAGCCTGGTATGAGAAACAATGATCCTCCAATAAAGAACACCAAACTATGCCATCCTGCAGTAATAATCAGATATATATAAAATAGTAAAAATCAAATATATACCAGTAATTCAAAACACATTTTGTAATGAGTGTTTTCAGTTATGGGGTCATCCATAATTGTCAACCATTTTCCAAAGTGTACAAAACATACACTTTTTAAGACCCCCCACCCTCCCTCAAAAAGTGTACATCAACCATTTTCAGATTTCAAGACAAGAATCAATAATAGTATATATGCAGTGGGGTCAAACCTATTTACTGGATCCAATCCCTCCCTCTAACATGGGACAGTGGTGTTACAGCACAAGACAAGAACAAACACATAAAACTCAGTTTTTTTATTATCAAAAATACAAGTCACAGATGAGATCAACTTATAAGAAGCAGTCAGTCCTGCAAGAAAAAGACACATGCTACTTTTAATGTACAATTTCACGTTTATTTTCAAACGCAGAGATGATAAATGGCTTCATCGCGGTAAAAAAAAATTCCGGAAATTAAAAAAAAAGCGTACAGTAAAAATGTAGATTTTTTAACCCCCTCCCCCCAAGTGTACGTTTTGTACACTTTGGAAAATGGTTGACAATTATAAATGACCCCTAAGATACACTGTAGAGTAAAGAACACTTTCACTAGATGATTGTCATGACTTTGAAGTCATTCATATGGAGAAATTTAAAAGGTTTAATATGGCTTGAAATATCTTCAATGAATCAATATTAAAAGGAAGCTAATCGTGATAAAACAAATTGATTTGTAATAACAATGCACTTTAAATATTTTGGAAAGATTCATTAAACATGATCAAGCAAATCTGAGTTACTGCATAGTGGTTTCTTGACAGGACAGACTTTACATACAATATCATACCATAATACATCTGTCATCAATAACATATAAAAATACTTGACAGTTCATTCTCAGACATCTTTCCAGAAAAGAGGGTAATCTTTGGATCTGATCCAGGAATTTTAGTAAGAATCGGCTTGATAACCCCAAATAATGTTAATGTTCTCATTAATTTATAATTTTTAATGCATCGTGTTCGTTAAACAATGAAAGGGGACCCAGGGTATATACAAAGGCTGTTCTCTCTTATTCAACACAGTGTTAACTTTATCACACAGGTATACAGTATATTGAACACCATACTGAATGGTAGATAAGTATAATCAAATAAACAATAGCTTACAAAAATCTTATGTCACCTCAGCAACACATTATAGCTGACTAAGCGGTATGGGCTTTGCTCATTGTTGAAGGCCATACAGTGACCTATAGTTGTTAATTTCTGTGTCATTTGGTCTCTTGTGGAGAGTTGTCTCATTGGCAATCATAACACCACATCTTATAAGAACATTTGAAGAAACATTTGTATGGTATATTTGTCTTCAATTTATGCTTTTTGTACCTGTTAGTCAGATTAAAGAAGAAAATAAGAGCAATGAAAGGATGTTTATATAAAAATTGTAACAATCAATTTTTTAATATCTTACCTCTAAATGGCGAGATCATTATTGCAACACCAGTTATAACTAATACTGAAAAAATAATTTAATTTAATTTAAAACTTTCGTCATATCTAATAAATCAGAACAAAGATTCTAAGGTAATAAGAACTGGCATCCTACTAAATACTAAGTCGTATAGAAAAACAATGTAGTGACCTTCAGTTCTTTATTCATTTAAACTCTACAAATAAAGAACTTTGTAACGAGTACATTCACCCCATATTTTTTAATTGATACACTATCAATCAAATGTTATAATGAATGAATAATTTAATTCCAATTAATTCTATCCCATTGAAAACAGCTTGAAATGTGTGACATTCAAATTTAAACTCAACCAAATATCAGCTTTAAAAAACAAAAAATCTCATTCGCAGGATTGTCAATATTGTAACTGAATTCTTCAAAACTCAATTGTCTTTAACATCGATAACATTTCATATAAAAAAAATTTTAAAAAATGTCTTCAAATTTTCTAAATCGAAAAAGAAAACACGCATACAACAACAGATGAAAGGCAGACAGTGATTACTTTTAAAAGTGTTCCTTAAATAAATGTCTGTATACCTAGACTTGTTTTCAATAGGGAATATTTCCAATAAAAATCCAATAAATTCATTTTTGCTACTGTAATTCAAATCCTGGCAGGGTCAAACCAAAGACCTTAAGGAGTCAATTGACTATTTTGATCATTTAACTTATTTGTAGATCCTACTTAGCTGAACATTTTTGCCATTTACACTTTCTCTCTATCTATTATAATATTAAAGATAATAACCAAAACAGTAAAATTTCATAAAAATAAACTATTTTGGACAGTAACCCTACAATGGGTGGTCCAATTGGTCTGAAAATTTCATAGCAGATAGATCTTGACTTATTCATCACTTTAACTCCATGTCACTTTTGCTCTAACTGCTATAGTTTTTGAGATAAAAGCCAAAAACTGCTTTTGACCCCTATGTTCTATTTTTAGCCATGGCAGCCATGTTTGTTAATGGATCAAAACTCAGGATACACTTTATAAATCAGTTACCCTAAGGAACATTCAGTTAAAGTTTAGAAGTATTAGGCCCAGTAGTTTCAGAGGAGAAGATTTTTTAATGTTAGCAAACATGATGAACAAATTGTGTAAAATTGTCTTTAATGGGCAATAACTCCTTAAGGGGTCAATTGACAATTTTGGTCATGTTAACTTTTTTGCAGAGTTTACTTTGCTGAACATTTTTGCTGTTTATAGTTTATCTTTATCTTCAATAATATTCAAGATAATCAAAAACTGCAAAATTTCCTTAAAATTACCAATTTAGTGGCAGCAACCCAACAATGGGTTGTTCCGTTCGTCTGAAAATTCCTGGGCTGATAGAACTTGACCTATTGAACATTTTAACCAGTGTCAGATTTGCTCTAAATCTTTTAGTTTTTGAGATATAAGCCAAAAACTACATTTGACCCCTATGTTCTATTTTTAGCCATGGCGGCCATGTTTGTTGATGGATCAAAACTTTGGATATAATTTATAAACTAGATACCCTAAGGAACATAAAGTTAAAGTTTGAAGGTATTTGGCCCAGTAGTTTTAGAGGAGAAGATTCTTGAAATAGTTTACGACGACAGACGATGAGGACGACAGACGAAGGACGACGACGGACACCAAGTGATGCGAAAGCTCACATGGCCCTCAAAGGGCCAGGTGAGCTAAAAATGGCTCAGTTTGTCAGACTAGTATAAAGTAGGGTTGATAATCATATTTAATAATCATGTACTCGTCCTGAATATCTATTTAACAATGTTTAACTTGCTGCTGGACTTTAAATAGCAATCCACCCATCATAATTATATAACATTTTTTTGGGTGTGTTTTGCTTCTTGTTTTTGTTTTGATTATTTTATCTAATGACGACTGGCAGACAGATCATCCTGCAGATTTCTAAGGTTTTGTCAAATAAAAATATGGCTGCAAATTAGAATTATTGAATTATTGATCTTGAAAATATTGAATGAATAAAATAAAAAAATATTCAGAAAAACATTAAACCAAAACACTCATCGACATCTTTAATTCTTTTGGAACATATAAAAATAAGAAGATGTGGTATGATTGCCAATAAGACAACTATCCACTAGAGTTTAAATGAAGTGGATATAATTAATGTATATAGTATCTATACTTACATAAGCCTATCAAAGTTAAAACAAAAGCCCCAATCACAACTCGACAGTTATCACGAACCTTTGGATGCTGCCACCACCTAAAATACAATAAAGTACGAAAAAATTATTCTAAATAATTCAAAAGAAGAAAATGCTTACAGATATACTTCAACAAATTCTATCTCTATCATTTTACACTTTTATAGCCTTTCTTAAAATAACACTTATCTGGATTGTTTTCTTTTCAATTTTCTCATCTTTTTTAAATTTGGTATATTTTGTTCTCACGAACTTGTAGTACAATGTATATATATAAAAATTTATCTTGTTCCTTTTGATATATTTTTTACAATGTTTTTCCCCCAAGTTTTCAGTTTTTTTAAGTACCCTATAGTTGTTAACTTCTATGTCATTTGGTGTCTGGTGGAAAGTTGTCTCATTGGCAATTATACCACATCTCCTTATTTTTATGTTATCTTAATCATGTTAATTCTGTTGTAAAAGTTAAAACATTATTTTTATAAAAGTCATTTTCTGAAATAAATATCAAACCTAAATTTATTAAGATAACATTAACATGATTAATAGAAACTAAATACTGTTGATTCATTTATTTTTGTGGATACCAATTAAATTTTTCGTGGATTGAGGAAAAAAATGTATTTTCGTGGATACTTGAATTTGTGGTTTTGACAAAATCTGAATACAAAATATACGAACATTTTGTACTTCATTGAACATTTAAATTCGTGGTAAACCCACACAATCCATAAAAATTGGTATTACACAAATAACAATGAATCCACAGTTTATGTACTATTACAATACTGCATGCATATGAATACTGCATTTTGCAACAATTGAAAATTAATCCAACACCATAAACATGATAAAAGAGTCAGTGCTCTGGCCAGAAATTAAAGTCCTTTCTTAAAATTTCAAATCTGAAATCTGAGTTTGACTCTAAATTTATAATTTTGTAGGAGTTAAACATAATTTTCCACTTTGAAGAAGCATGACATGCTTGATGCAAGAAAGACCAATGGTGAGAAGTAAACATGTCTTGTCTGATTGTATTATGTTTGTTTTTTTTTTAAATATCTGGTATGTAATTTTATCAATTTTACTTCACTTCCAGATCCAACATGCTTTATTTATAAGGTTAACATAGTTACTCATACTGAACATTTTTGGAAAGTTTTATATATCAAAATATAAGAAGAAATACCAAGTTTACGTATCAATACAATTTTTCATCAAAATCAATAAGTTATAGTTATAAATACAAGTTAGACCAACTGTAACAAGGGGGGATAACTCATAATATTAATCAAAGATTCTGATTCTAGCTTTCAGAAATGAATTTTGGAAAATAGTAAAAATTACATTGATTACAAATGAATTTTTCTACATTTTCCCATCCTAATTACAAAATAATCAAACTTGAATAGTAAAGGTCCAGAAGCTGAATACATATAAATAAAAGCATAGACTGTAGCAAAAATACTGGCAATTCCCCAACAGTGATTGAGTGTATCTATTGCTGCACAATGTTGGTCAAAATGGTCAATGTGAGACAAATTATTCTGACAATGTGGTTTAAAAAAATGTCAACAAAAAATCTTAATCACCATTCCCCATCTTTACACTGAAATCAAGTTTACTATAACCCAACTTATTTTTGTGCAGACTTTTATTTCGTGTTATGTTATTTCTAGCCTATTTCACCATGATTTATTTCTCGTGATCTTCTCATTTTCATTATATATGAAAAGTATAAGGGAAGATCCAAGTTTCAAATATTTGCGACAAATTAAATTCGCATTATTTCTACCGGTACTTGCAAAAGTTGTGAAAATAAATCACTTGCAAAAATTAATTGGTTTACAGTATATATATATTCTAATCTCTAAACTGAAATAAGCACACAATATATACACTCTAATGATTATTACCCTTATATTTACCAGTAATTATATACTACAGTATGTAAAAATAAAGCAAAAAGAACATACAGTCTTGATATAATGTACAAAGCTGGGAACGACCTTACCTATAGTGCCATGACCTTGAGGATATGACACTAACATTCTCGTCAGTTCTGCTTACAGACAGGTTAGAAACTGCAGATTTCCTACTGCAAAATCACCAGTGATGAAACAAAATTAGGTTGAATTAAAGAAAGGTAGTGTGTGAAAAGGTGGAAAGCAGAGGCTAGATTATCTGAAATGTGGTCGCCCAATCTTGAGAAACTTGTATGTATACATGGTAGTATGTCTGACCAGAATGAGAAATAGAAAATAAGTGCAATTTTTCAATTTCAATATCATGTGCCAAATATTCTATCAAACAATTTACTGAACACTAATTTAGCAATGGTAGAAATAAGTAGACTCTTTGCTAATCAAATGCAAGCATATTTTACAGAGGACAAGCTTAACTGAAGTTCAACTTGCCAATTAGCCAAGCTTATTTCATTTTTTTCCTGACTATATCAACCCATTATCAACTTGCCAATTAGTCAAGATTATTTCATTTTTCTCTCACAATATTCATGATATTAACCCATTATCAACTTGCCAATTAGTCTAGCTTAATTCTTTTTTTTTCTCATTATATAAAGGGCATGTAAATTCCATTGGGACCAAGTAAAATCAAGGAGCTTACAAGTCTGCTTGGCCTCTTTAAAATTTGATCTTATTTCTACCCATTTAGCCATTTCTTTTTCTTACATACTGATTGTCAGACAAACTTTGGAAGGGCTGCCTGGTAAAGGTTGCTTAGGATTATATAACATCAGTTAATTAACGTTGTTTAAATAAACCCTTCAGAAAAATATAACAAATTTCTTACCAGGTGCTTTTCACGATTTTCCTTCAAAAAGAGTTTATCAAAACTTTAAATCATAATAGCAAAGATAGAACCCTTTAAATTATCTATTAACATGATTAAGTTTATATTAAATCATATACTGTGAATTCATTATTATTCGTGGATTACCAATTTTTGTGGATTTTGTGTTTACAGGCCGGCCCGGAACAAGGAATTTAAATGTTCAACAAAGTACAAATTTTCTATAGGCTTGTATGCAGACTTTTGTATAACCACGAAATCAATTATCCACGAAAATGAATGAGTTCCACAGTAAACTGCATGTTTTTTGAAAAATCAAATCAATAAATTATACATTCTTACCATCAGGGCATCATTGGTTATGACCCATGATGCATCATTTTAATCGAACAATATAAAACTTTAAAATACAAGGGAATTCACTTAATAACTCTTAGCGTTGGTTTTTTACACTTGTGAATGTGGGTGATTTACTCAGAAATAACTAAACTTATTTCATGGGTATTATATGACAAAGAGTAATCGGAGTGATAAGAGGGAACTTTTCTATAAGGTATTCATAGAACATGTGAAATATATTGTAAAGCACTGTGTGTCGAGGAATTTTGTAAAAAGTAGTCATAAATTATTATTGAAAAATTCTAACTACAAATAGGAAAAGTTTCAGCCCACATGATCTGATTGATAATGAAACCACTAATACTTCCAGTTGCGTTAACAAATAGTGTTTTAATTAAGTCTTATAGCTTACTTGTAAATACATGAAATAGTATCATTTTTTATAGAAATATATATCTATATATATAATGTAGCTTTACCTTGATTTAGATCCTGAGCTTGATATGAGAGATTGTGTTTGTGCATCTTCATCATACTGAAAAACAAATTGTAATATATTCCCTGAGTCCAAATTATGGTAACACAAACAGGCCAGTAACCATGAAAATCAATGCATGGAATCAAACAATCTTATTAAAATACAGATCATATCTTAAGATGTAAATGATAATTACTTGTATAAGTAAATTTGTAAGATTTTTATTATATTTTCAAGGTTTGAATAATCTCCCCTTAATCTTCTAAAACATTTACTGATAATATAGGTAATCTTTTTTTATACCCTTAAATTCTCAAGTTTTGGAAGGTTAAAACATGCCATAACAATATTTTCTTGCTTTGCTTACTATTTTTCAATTAGAGTTCAACCTTTCATCTGAAGAAGTATTAAAGAAGTCTATTGCACACAGATGTTAAGTAACTGCACAAAGCCTTTAAACATTGCTACCTGGAGGCTTGTAAATTATCAGTGATTTGAAGATAACAGACAAGTGAAATTTACATTGTCCATGAAATTATACTTTTATGAATAGTAAAGACAGCTATTCATGAAAAACTATAAAACACTCAATTAAAACAATATAGTCAAGAGAAATTCAAGAAAAGAAGAAAATAACAATGAATAAGACTTTTTTACAGTTTATAAAAGTAAAAAAAATCTGAAAGTCTAAGGGATATAACTCTACCTCCACAATAATTACTTTTATCAGTAAACATGGTAAATAAAGAACATTTGTATAAGTATTACCCCTGACTGTCGCATATGCATAAATAGATATGTTTCTTCTTAAAAAAATACTTTAAAGTCGTATGAAACTACAAAATGAACACAAAATGTAAATACGTTTTTTTTCTTTTTATTAAATAGCTTATTTTTCTAATAAAAGACGCACACTTGATCATACAAGGACTTGTTTTATATAGAACATCTTTTATTTTGTCCATATCCCAAAGAAATATACACGTTTGTTGATGTGGTTCATAAGTGTTTCTCGTTTCTCGTTTTTTATATAGATTAGACCGTTGGTTTTCCCGTTTGAATGGTTTTACACTAGTAATTTTTTGGGGCCCTTTATAGCTTACTGTTCGGTGTGAGCCAAGGCTCCGTGTTGAAGACCGTACTGTGACCTATAATGGTTTACTTTTATAAATTTTGACTTGGATGGAGAGTTGTCTCATTGGCACTCATACCACATCTTCTTATATCTATGTACTGCTATTGAATTAGATTGTCTTCCCATAGAAAGTTTTTCCGTATGCATTGTTCATGTCCTTAGGGAATTTATTTTTTAATAGCAATAGAAAAAGTGTTATAAACAACTGATAGAACATGTAAGAATAAATTATAATCGGATGACATACACGTAAATAATAACTAGTATAGAAATTGGATAAATGATTAACGGCGAATTATAGTATATACTTGTATCTACTTTGAAATTTGCATCTTCACTTTGAAAATTTCAGCTGATTGATGTTTATTTGATGGCACGTTGATTCAGATACTTGACAATTTCTGCCGAAAAAAATTTTGGTTATCTTTGTTATTTTTATTTTTAGATCCAAAATGTTAATTCCATATATATCATTTCTTTGAGTTTTGTAGTAATTTTCGAATATCTGTGAATCTGTTGTGGTTTTTATATAATTATATATGAAATGAATGTAAAAGAGAGGCGAAAGATACCAGAGGGACACTCAAACTCATTAGTCGAAAATAAACTGACAACGCCATGGCTAAAAAATAAAGACCAATAGACAAACAAACAATATTACACAAAACACAACACAGAAAACTAAAGACTGAGCAACATGAACCCCACCAAAAACTGGGGGTGATCTCAGGTGCTCTGGAAGGGTAAGCAGATCCTGCTCTACATGTGGCACCTGTCGTGTTGCTCATGTTAGTGCAAACCCGGTAATAAATTATTAGTCTAATTCGGAAAAAAGGGAAGGGGGGGTAGTTTCAACATTAGGAACATATCCGCTATCATAAGTGACTATAATCTGCTATCTCTTGTGATGAATATACTATTAGTTTATCCTGGCAGACAAAACATGCAAAAGAGAACGTTCTTGCGAAAAATTACAAAGTGTAAGGATTCCTGTCTGTGTCTGGAAACAGTAGAGAAGAATTTGTCAGTTGTCATAGGGCAAAGATCATGAGCAGAAACTATAATAAAGGCTTTCTTACATATAAGACCGCATGAATAATCATGTGTGTATTGAAGAATAAATTTATATGGATGTCATATCTACAGTTAAATATATATCAAAGTCAATGCTTTTGTTTTGTCTTATTACTGTTCTAGGTCTTTACTATGCATTGGTTTTCTGGGCATCGGTTTAGTGTTATTTATACTTTTGTTTTTTTACTGTCAATTTGCAAGCAATCAGTTTTTGGTTTTTTTTTTTAATTGCTCTTTCTCTGTTTTTGTTTTTCAAATGTTGTCAAAACAAGATAAAAATGTAGTGTCTATATTCACAAACTAGGAGGTTGTTGGCTTTTCAATGGTACAAGAATAAAATAATTTTTCATAAAATATTTTGATTTTACAAGGGATGTTTCTTGTTCTTTATTCTTACTTGATAATTCTTCGAATACTAATGGGATGGAATAAATAGCTTTTCTTAATCTAACCTCAAGCTCTAACAATAAATAACACACACACATATATATATATATAAGGATAATTGTCTGGTAATAGTGATTTTTTAACCTTTAAACAATACAATGTGAGGTATAAGTGATAATCAGTCTATAGTTTTTTTCAAAATGTTCAAATTAATATATAGGTACATGCGATTGACAATTTAAAATCAGTTATCATCGTCATCATGGTCATGGTTGCGTTCATCATTGTTAATCACAATATTACACAAATGTATTAACATGATTGAGTAACTTTTTATCAATTTATTTATTTGTTTTAATAGTATATAAACTTTCTTGTCTCTAATCAGTGAGACCAATTGATTCTGTATTTCGTTTTGCAGTTTGTAGTATAAATTTATATGTTTTGTGGTTTATCATAGTTGTTTTAATGCAATTTTTGTAGTTTTGTGATAAAACCAACATGAGCTAGTTCAAACAATTATGACGTCTTGAAAGGTAATTTTTATTTTTTTCTGTGACGTCGTAGGAAGGTGTCACAATTTTTTTTTTAGTTAAGTATCCTTTCAACATGTTCAACTTCAAGACTTCTTAATTATTTGGATTATGGTAAACCATGCTCCAGTCGATACTCAGAGCTCAGACATAAATAAGTCTAAATCTGCTTTTGACTCGTAGAGGTCTAAATTTGTAGGTTTCAAGATTTGTCTCCCTTTAATTTAAGACAAATTATGACTTCAATAGTCATTTAGTGTTAAGCAAGAAATATTTGACTTGAATTAAAAAGTTGCAAATATTGACTCCTACAAGTCGATAAGTTACCAAAATTGGTAAACTTCAAGACCCAAGCATATTTATAAAAAGGTCATGCATCTTCATGAAATTATGACAACATTGAAAGACAATGCTTCGTCTTCTAAAGAAATATATGCATGAGAGCCTAAAAAAACGGAGATAATGTTTATTTACTTTACAATGCAACCATCTATAACCAAACAAAATGAGGAAAATAATCTTATGTTAAGTAAAAATGTTCAATAAGATGATTAAATATAGATAGCTCAGGTCCTTGTGAATTCTCAGACAGGTTTATGATGTCATAGGTGGTGCACTTTGGCCACCAATTCAAATTAAGTCTTTTCAGAAACATAAATAGACCTAAATAAGTCTGAAAATGAAAACACATTTTTATAATAAATACTTTTTTTGACTTCTGTACATGCTGTAAGGCATCAAAAACAAAAAAAAGACTTGTTTATGTCTGAGCTCTGACTGGTCTAGGGATGGTTGGTCCATGGAAGTAATTTTTTAGGATAGCTGTGGAACCATATCTCTAATGGTCATATGATATTTTTGACAATTCGAGATCTATATTAGCTACTGTTCCGCAGCTAATTTTAGGATGGCAGAAGATAAGTTACAGATGGGCCATCATAAAACAGGTCATGAAGATCCCTGTAATTCAAAAATGTAAACATTGTCATGAAAGAATTTAGGAATTGACTACGTGTTCCATGTGAACACACTGACCTGGATGTCAGTGCTAGATTGAGAGTCTTCAACATTGACAACATTGCTGCCATATTTCCTTTTGAATTTAAACGGATTCTCTGAAGACGTAGAACCATAAACTCTTATTTTATCTTCATCATCTGATAGATTTATTTCGTTAACGTCTACTTCAGATGTTGTCATTTTGATTTCATTGGTCTCCTAGATTTGCCCATTTCTTAAAAACATAATTTTTATAAACTTGTTCAAGAAGTTGACATCCAAAAATGTTACCGCTTACAACATTAAAAATTGTCAACAGACGCAGAAAAAAAAGTCAATTCCTGAACAAATTTCACTCGGACATAAACATAATGAAAATCATCAGAAAAAAATAATTGAAGGAAAAAAAACTTTGACTTCGTTTTTCTTCGTATACATTTGTGAATGTGAGCAACAATTGTTAGTGATTTAAGCGGTATCTAGGTTGCCACAAGCACGAATCATGCCCACTTTTGCCATTTACACCAATCTTCCTAAAGACAAAATTCCTGGAAGCTTTATACTAGATGCATCAAGTTTTATAGCTAAGAGGCTTGGAAAACCAGAGAGTGTATGAGTTGTCATTCCTTTAATAATATGTAAATAGCAACAAAAAAAAACTAATAAGGGCAGACAATTTAGTTCAAACCTTTATACAACTACTAAATATTCCGGTCCCAATTGGTTTCTATGATAAATTCTGCAATTTTCAAGCAATGACGGGTCTTTGTAGTAAATTTTAATAATGAGACAATTTCATGTTAAAATCAAATATCAAAACCAGACAGACTCCTTTGTAGTACATGTAGTATACACCTTATCGCTATTTAGTCCAATCCGGAAAAAAACAGTCATTTAGACAACTTCCTGTTTGGGTCAACAGGCCGCAAACAAAGGTCATCAGTAACGAGCTGAGGGAGGGAAAAATTTAGAAAGCGATCAATAGGAAACTTTGATAGATTATGAACCACTTTTTCCAAACTCAAATTATAGTCAAAAACATATTGTGTTTGAAGAATTTACGATGTTTTAAACAGGTCTCATTAAAAAGTATCATGCATGGTGCATTGTTTAAACAGGGTCCCAGATAGCTTCAACTGGATGAAAAAGTTGTGTAATTTTAGAACTTATCCGGAATGGAATAAATAGGGATGAGGTGTATTGTATAGCACTTATATATTAATTGTCTTGAGTGAGGGTAGGAATGCCCTTTGCTGTCGAGGGCCAAATGTCCTTTTTGCACTACGGTTAGCTTCAAATGAGTCTAAATTTTCTATCGTCATTCGTCAAATCTAATTAAATTTGTAGCTACTGTGAGCATCAAAAGGCATGAAAGGAGTAAAATATTTATTGTTAACGTTAATTTTACAAATATTTTACTGTTATTTTTCAAGTGGGGTACCCCATTACTACCACCTTGAGTGAGGCCTAGAATAAAACCGAATATATTTCTCTTCTCATCAACATGTGATTGTCCTGAATATGAATCTTGTATATGTCACTTCACATTAGGCAACGGGCCCCGGCCCATCAGTAAATCAGTATATATCTTACTTGGCAAATATGATATATAAGGTTCATCATAACTTTTTGGTAAATATGGTTGTATTTACACCACAAATTTTACTCTGAGTACAGACAAACATGTGCACCTGGAAAAGTTTTAAGATGTGGCAGGAACTAGATAATTAAATTTTAAATGCATTTTATGTTTCAGAGCTTTTTGAGCGCTGACCCTAAGTCATTCTATTCCCGTCGTAGAGTGAAAAAAATAACTGAACTCGTGTCACAAGCGAAGTTAGAGTTGCCAATAAAATAAATTAATTGCTTGATACATCTAAATGTTCACAATCGTGAACGATACAGCTGTTATAAGAAACTTGTGACTCGTGTGATGAAATAATCACTTTGCCACCATTCTTTCCAACCAATAACCGGGGGAAATAGTCAAATCATTGAAAATATGGGTAAACCCGGCCCATGGACAACTCAGACCACGGCAAGACAGACCGCAAGATTCAAAATCATGTCGCAATGTTAATTAAAATGGAAATACCAGTCAGGGGACTTATTGAAATAAGTGATTTTTTAATCACTTATTTAAGTAGCAAATTCGAAGTTTTGTCACAAATTGTGCTTTTGTAGTTTTACCAAAATTTTAAACACATAGTTTCAGATAATATCTTTTCATTAGTAAAATTGAAAAAAATGAACTTTTTGCTTCTTTTAAGCATCAAGGTTTATGCCTTTGATGCAATCATTGAGCTGCAAATTCTATTTTAGTTGAAAAAATGCTATAAAAATGGCTTTACATAATGAACTGATACTTTCTTAACAGATTTTTCCCAGCAGTGGGAGTATTTTTCCTTTAAAATTCAAGGTTTCATCTAATAGATTATGTAATAAAATTCTACTGTTTGCGATCAAAATTTCACTGTTCAGGGGTGTTGAAATTAGTGGGGGTTATTAAAATAATGATACTTAAAGAAGTAATTTTTTGGATGGAAATTGAGGTATGATACTTAAACAAGTGATTTTTATGTCATTATCCTAGATTTAGTACAAGGTCATCACCTGACATGACCCGGTCATCCTTCTCAACACATATGTTGGTTCTGTTAATTTTAGCAACATAATTAGTCCCTGGATCTTTAGTACTCTATATTTAAAGCTACAATAAAATTAAATCACTAAGTCTAGTGATTAATTTGTACTACTTAAATAGGTGATTATTAAAGAAAGACAACTCTTACTTTCCAACCTTTATGGACATAATGTTACTTAAATCAGTGATTTAGAAAATCACTCTTTTAAGTAAGTCCCCTGACTGAATACGGAAATACGGACCTACCTACCCTATTTTTTTTAATGATGTAACCTTAAACAGACATATATTTTTTTTGGCCCTATGGGTCTTCAACGTAGGGAGAAAAGCCTGCACCTGGTGGTGAGCTTCAGCTGGCCTCTAAAAACAAGAATGTATACTTGTTCAAAGAAATGGACGCCACACTAATCTTCGAAATATATAAACATGATAAATGAACCAAAAATTAAAAAAACATATAAGACCAATAAAGGCTAGAGTTTCGTGACTTGGGACAGTTGCAAAAATGTGGTGGGGTATAACATGTTTTGTTCGATCTCAACCCTCCCATATTGTTGCCTTTACCTCTATCCAATGTGGAATAAAAAAACACACATCATTGAGCGCAGTAAAACTCTGTTGGACCCCTCCCCCCACTTATGTTTCATAACTAATGGTTTTGTATGGTGACCATATGGTTGAAACCTCCCCCCTTTTTATATGACTGGCATGTGTTGGAACTTGGAGCCCCACCTTTTTAAAATGGCTGAATCCCCACTTGACATGCTTGAATGATTTATGAGTGCTTGAGTGGCAATTGTCATTTTCTATAAATACAAACTAATTCATCTTGATACTGTGAATTTATCTATTTTTTCGTGAGGACCAAATTTTATAGTGACGGGAAAAAATTATATTTTCAAAGATACCTATAAATTTCATGGCAAATTATTAAAACAAGCCAATAGAAAATTTGCATTGCATTGGACATTTTGAATGTTTGAATTCTTAGTTCAAAGTATACCTGTGAAATCTATTTTGATTAATACTCCACAAATAATAATTAATCTATGGTCATGATGATATTCATATGCATGATATGTGGCAGTCAGGTACATCCTATTACCATGTGATTAGATACAGACTTTTTTTGACAATGCATTTAAGTGGTCCATTAACAATAAATATCTTCAGTTTGTTAATAACAGATCTTTACCACGTTCTTTTCAACAAACAAGTTGAAGTATGTTATGTAAATGCAAGTGCAAGAGTATTGGTATGTGTGTGTGAGAGTTTCCCCCTCTTTGTTATAACAATTATTGTCATATAATATATATTTACAACAGCAGAATAAATGTAGTCAATTATTCAATTTTTGTCTATGTTCATCAAAACCCTTAACACCATAGTCAGGTAGTGATGTAAAGTGATTGTAAAAGCCTGCCTACTGAAAAACAAATATTTAAAGAAATTAAATGGTTACCATGGTTACTGTGGTATATGAAAGCAAGGTTAGTGGATCTTTTCTATTATCATGATTATATCAACATTGTTCAAAATTATTTTGTAATTTCAGTATGTTACAGTCAGGGTACATCCAGACCAAATGATGAGTCATGGAGGATCTACTGATCCCTGTGGTAGTGTAGAACTGTACAGTATTGGAGCATTAGGAGAAAAGAACAAGGAACATGCTAAAGAAATAGCAGATTTTATTGAGAAGACTTTAGGAATTGCACAAGATAGGTAAGATTTATAATGCTTAATATGATGAAGTACGTGTTTGCTTTTGATATGGCTGACATTTTACTTTCTGTAAAGCTATAAAATTGTGATTTGGATGACTATTCACCATGTGTTAACTTCTCTGTATTTAGCGGTGTTTGACGAAGCCCATTACTGACAGGCCTGTGGGAGAATTCAGAAATGTGGGTATCTAATATTTGTGTAATCAACTTCCCGCCTCCGGGTGCGGGATTTTCTCGCTGTGTTGAAGACCAATTTGTGGCCTTGGGCTGTTTTCTGCTCTTTGGTCGGGTTGTTGTCTCTTTGACACATTCCCCATTTCCATTCTCAATTTTATTCTAAAGTTTTGAAGGTCAAAGTTGTGCATCACCTATTAACATGATTAATATGGAATTGTTCGATCAAATTTTTCATATTTTTCAGAATTGGGAACTTAGTCTTTTTTTTCAGTAAAATTTATGAAAGAGGGTGTAAGTTTTGTGTAATCAATTCAACTCCTACTCAAGTTTTCAAATTAGATCCCTGAAACTTCACAGGAAGATTGCAAATATGTTGAAGTTGTGCACCTGCTATTATTGAATTGTTTGAGGAATTTTATTTTACTTTTTAAGACTTGGGGACATAGTCATTTTTCAAGCATTTATATCTTTAGTATAGACAATTCTCCATTTTTATGATTGTTTAAGAAACTAACTTTTTTGCAACCTGGTTTTTTGAATCTTTGATCTATTTTTAAGTTGATTAAGAGACAAGTGGTTGTTTTTATTAAAAAGGGAAAAACATAAAAAATATCTATAATATAAAATTTTGGCTTCAAATGTTTTTAAATCAACTGAAGTATTTTTAAATCAAACATAGTTATATGTAGTAAAATATATATAGAAAAGAGCATGACATCTAGTCCTATAGTATCAACAAATTTGAAGAAGATCAGGTTTGTTCATTTGTCAAAACATGCATTTTTTTGTAAGGCGAAGACAAAATATCTACAAATCTGATTTAAAACAAAGTAACAAAAATATCAAATGATAATCGTAGGTAGAAAAAAAAATTGATTCAAAAAATTGTTTTTTAAAGAAACTATATATAGGGGAACAGTTTTCACCTTGATAAATTAACCTTGATAAATTAATAAATTTTCTTTTCCGTTCTCTAACTTTAGTTTGCCTTTACCAAATGTTATGAAATTTATACACAATGCTTATTACCACAAAACACAGATCAAGTTTGAATTTTGGTGGCGTTACTTTTACCAATCTAGAGTTATGCCCCTTTACAAATGGAAAAATTGCTGAAATGTTCGTTTCTGTTCTCTAACTTTAGTTTGCCTGAACCAAATGTTATGAAACTTATGCACAATGCTAATTACCACAAAACACAGATCAAGTTTGAATTTTGGTGGCGTCACTTTTACCGTTCTAGAGTTATGCCCCTTTACAAATGGAAAAATTGCTGAATTTTTCGTTTCCGTTCTCTAACTTTAGTTTGCCTCAACTAAATGTTATGAAACTTATAAACAATGCTAATTACCGCAAAACTCAGATCAAGTACAAATTTGGGTAGCGTCACTATTATAGTTATTGAGTTATGTCCCTTTATAAAGTTATATGCAAGTGGGGGCATCATCTGTGTCTCATGGACACATTCCCCATTAATTTTTTTGTTGATTAATTCTGGAATTAGTCAAGATAAGAATTAAATAAGATTCTGACTCTCTTAATCAAAATGGAATTTACTATTTTGTTTGTTAGTTTTATTGCTACATAGTTTGTATGCCCACCTACGATAGTAGACGGGCATTATATTTTCTGGTCTGTGCGTCCGACCGTCACGGAATAGGTTAAAGTTTTTGGTCAAGGTAGTTTATGATGATGTAGAAGTCACATCAACTTGAAACACCATAAAGCTCCGTGAATCCAGAATCGAAAATCTTTCAATCACTGTAGGGTTCTGTGATTTTTTTTTGGAAAAATTTAAGGAAAAATTGTCATCCCGACAAGCAATAATCCTGATTTCCCGAGCTTAAAATACGAAAATCCCGAATTTCGTTCACAATGTTTCCCGAAATCCTGGATTTAAATTGTAGGTGTCCCTATTTCCCAAATTAAAAAATGGCTGATCCCGACGTCCCGAAAAAGGTCCTGCCCCCCCCTCATAGAATATTTTTCATGTTTTAGACCAAATCACTACAGTTGCATGTAATACCTATAAATATTTTCTTGTAGATTTTATGTGACATTTGTGGATTTGGAAAGAGGAAATGTAGGTCTCAATGGAAAGACTTTTGCCCAATAAATAATATGCAGATATCAATGGAAAGACTTTTACCTAATAAATGATATGCTGACAGAATAGTTATGAAGATGTATGTTAATTTTTTGTGCCATTTTATGTTATTTCTGGCTTTGAAGATAACTACAAACAGTTTGAATAGACCATTGAAAGTTAATCATCGAATAAATAATTGCAGAGCATGACATGAAACTAGAATGTACTTTGTGATAAAGGTCTATGATATATCTATATCTGTTGTATGTTATTGTGCATAAAACTGTTTTTGCTTTTGATATGTAGTTTTTAATTAAAAATAACTGTTACTAAACATTATTTTTGTTTAAGCATTTTTTTAACAACATATGTTCGGAACAAAATGTATACTTTTTGTTAAATACCAAGATTTTTTGTAATATTGTCTCTGTATCATAATTAATTGGATTAAAATATAAAAAATGAAGGAGCTAATTTATTTTTAGAATTTATGAATTCATCGAAAAATATGATAGCAATTTTAAAAGATCTTAGCCTGGTAAACTATTTATGTTCATTTGTAGCTAGGGACATACATACTTTTCTCCACCAACATTTGATGATTGATTTTGATCATCTTTGCTAGCCAAGGGTAACAATCCAGTCCCCTCCTCTCTACCCTTGGCGAAATAAGATAGAATCTCAGATCCACGAGGTAATGATTTCCATTGGTCGCAGTTGTAACTGGCTGCTTCCAGTCAAAAAGCACCTTTAAGATGATAACGTGTAAATGTAGAAAATGTAAATAAACAATTGCCAAGTGCTGATTGTGCAACAAGTCTTTACCCCCAAAACGTAGAATGATATTTGGTGACAATTTTAAAGTTCTTAATTAACCAACTGAAGTTCATGGATATGTTTTTCGCGCAAATGTTGGAATGTCAACACATATTTTCAGTTCCTGCTTCACGAAATTTGTTAGCACTAGACACAACCATTTTTAAGACCTCCACACCGAAGAGAGTGCTGCCGTTGGTCAAGAAGTATGATGTCAGAATGGGCGTGACTTTTATCTACCTATTCTCCTTACCCGGAATAATGTTGATTTTCATCTTTATTTAAAGATACATATACAATATTATTTTGAAACAATACACTTGCTATCTTGAGTTCTAATTCCATCAACAACTGCCAGTCCATACTTTACTAATGCAATATGACAATTTATTGCCTTTCTTGTTTTCAGCATACTGTGGGTGCTTTTGTTAATTTTCCATACACTGTAGGTGCACTTTTTATAATTTTTTGCGCGCTTTAGATGCCCTTTTTCAATTAAGTTACCATGCCCTTTTTGTGTGATAGGGGAAACACTATATTTGTCTCTCCTATTTATTTTAAACTAAATTTATTTCGTATTTTACGTTTTAGAGTCTATAAATTCATAGGAATACTTTCACGCATGCACAGTATATCGTAAACAGTAAAGGAAGCACTTGTTTGACTCGTGAAAACGTTTTGAATAAAGTTCTATCTTTTTAATTGAAATTGAACGTTTTATACCAAAGATCACGAAAATAAGATCATTTGACGAAACTATGACAAACGAACTGCAAATTGTGATCGTTTTAGAAATATGGAAATTAAAAAGCGAACTGTTCGGGGGAAAACAGTTTTGTTCAAATGACGAAACTACGACAAACGAACTGCAAATTGTGGTCGTTGGCCTTGAGAAATATTGAAATTAAAATGCCAACTGACTGATTTTACTGGGGAAAATTATTATGGTGGTCAATTATGAGGTTTATTAATAATTAACGGATTAGTGACCCATCAGATGGCGATAAGCGGATTAACTGTAATTACATCTTTATAACACCTGTTGTAAATGTTAATTAGCTGAGGGTCATAAACTTGCCAGAAACATGAAGACAGGAAGAAAAGGCATTTTTTGAGACAATGGCATCACCCAAAGAAGTGAAAAAAGGGCATGGCGTCATTTATTAAGACAGAAAAAGGGCATGGTGTCTATTCATGCTAAACATGCTTGGGGGAAACACTTGTTTAAAGACAGTCAGGGGTACTACATGTACAAGTTATTTTTATTTACTTGAAAAAGTAGTAAATATTAATATACTTATATAAGTATAATTGTAAGATACTTATACAAGTGTATTTTATTTACTTGTATAGGTAAATTTTTTTAATGGCTTAGTTATGTCCCTTAGACATTTAGATTTTTTTTACTTATACATTCAAGTAAAAAAGTCATACTTTCTTCTTTTCTTGAATTTCTCAGGACTTCTTTGCTCTAATAGAATTTTTAATTGTCTGTCCTTTGCAGATGTCTTTACTAATCATTGAAGTGTAATTTCATGGACAATGAAAATCTCATTTGTCTGTTATCTTCAAAATACTGCTCATTTACAAGTCTCCAAGGTTCAATTTTTGAGGGCCTTGCGCAAATACTTAAGATCTTTGCTCAATTAGTTTCTCTGTTGAATTAATGAGATGAAACACTGAACTCTTATCAAAAATTATGAGCTAACCAGAGAAAAATTGTTTAAGGCATGAATTTACATCCCAAAACTGAATTTTAGGGATTGTGAAAAAAATTACTTATACAAGTAAATTTTTTGAGAAAATTAAGGGGAGATTATTCAAACTTTATAAGAAAAGATGAATATAACAAATTTACTTATATAAGAATATTATTATTTACTTCTACATGTAGTACCCCTGACTGAAAGACGTCATAAGCAGTCTTGAGAAAAGCATGACTTTGTGCAATGTGTTAGAACAGATTAAGACAACTATTTAAATTCTTAATACACCGCTAAATTGGTATTTGTTAAAAATAAATTTATTAACAATGACGATGGAATTATACTCACTATCAGAAGGACCAACATAACATCACCGTAGAAAAAAAACAAAACAAATAATAATAGGCAACAAACAATTGTCTCTGTTGTTAAGTATTTTAGTATAGAGTTTCCCCGTGTGAAATTAAAATGAGGCCCCTCATGGGGGTGTCCAAGTAATCACATAATCACAATTTTTTACCAATATAATCACATAATCATTAATTATATTTCTAAACAAGATAATCAAAAAATCAAAAATACAGTCCTAGATTATCAAATAATCAAATAATCATGAAATATTTGGTCTGGTAATCAAATAATCACTATAAAAACGGCCAAGTAATCACATAATCAAAAACCCTCATGAGGAATCGAGGCTCTGAAATATCTGAACCATGACAAGGACAATTTTCTCAGTCTGTTTATATTAGATTTGTTTGAGGTAAAGTTGTATTTCGTTGAACACTTTAATTTGTGGTTAGCCTTTACCGATAACTCTAACATTCACATATTTATAGAGTATTACAGTTACCCAACAAATAATATGAATCAATACTACATAATTTGATCTATATTACGTCATTGATAAGACATATTAAATTATTAAGGTAAACTTGACTTCGTTGTCACGCTCAAGTGGTTTTATTGCCATCACATGCTGCTCATTGTCTGTCTGTCTTCATTTTTCAAATGCAAAAAAAAAGTGAATGGTCATACTCTCTAAGAATTGTGATTAACTATTTCACCAGCCATTAACTTTACTGGACCAATTACTTTAAAATTTAAATAAATCTCCTACTTTAAATTGTAACTTGAGACTTTTAAGAATATTGGGCATTTGTGGTCTTGTATAAGAAAAATACTTTTTATAAAACCTTGTCTAAAACTATTGGGCAAAATATTATGAAACCTTATTTAAATTTTCCTTAGGGTATTCAGTTTAAAACCTGTATCCGGGTACTTGATCCACAATGGCGGATCCAGAAATTTTCATAAGGGGGGGCCCACTGACTGCCCTAAGAGGGGCTCGCTCCAGTCATGCTTCAGTGATTCCCTATATAATCTACAATCTACCAAATTTTTCCCACAATAGGGGGGGGGGGGGGGGGGGGGGGGGGCTGCTAGCGTAAGCCTGAGAAAAGTAAGCAGTAGGTCAAGGGATATCCCTGTCAGAATTTTCATAAAAATCGAACTTTCTATTTTTGAGTTTTTGCCCCTGAAATGTCAATATTTAGTAAATTTCGCAGTTTGTGGTTATTATCTTGAAAACTACAACAGGGGAAAATTTTAACAGTAAAATTAACCAGATCAATCAGATCTACAAATAAGGCAACTTGGAAGACATTGTCAAATTATCTTTTACTGGAGTTCTTTTCTTTTTAAAAATTATTATTTTTATCCGTTTTGCATCTTTTAAGGAAAATGTAGTTAATAGAGAGAATCTGACCATGGTGAAAACGTTAACAAAACATGATCTGCAATTAAGTCAAATTGGTCAAATTGTCAATTGACTTATAGAAGGAGTTACTATCTATGAAAGACTATTTTTACTCATTTTTGAGTTGTTTTTTTTTTTTTTCAGAAATTGTAATAGAGAGAAATTGAAGTAAGCAAAAGTGTTTATTAAAAAAAGATCTACAAATAGTCAATAGAAATAAGACAATAGGTCACTGTACCATGGCGGTCTTCAACAATGAGCAAAACCCATAGTTTATATCTTAAATTCAGAATTCATCAACGGGAAATTTTAGAAAAATATTTTATAAATCATGTCAGAACCGTAGCACTGACTACTGATGATCTGACGATACCGCTATAATAATTTTGTAGACATTATCCAAACAGCATATAATGTGAAATGTTTGTGTACATAAGGGAGCTACCATTTGATTTTTATGGGGGGGGGGCTAGGATGAAAAATTTTGTCCTGCGTTTTTTTCTAGTTGTAATCTCTGTCCTGCCTTTTTATTTTTCACTCTATTCAGTCCTGCCTTTTTTTTTTATTAGTTTATCCTGACTTTTTTTACATGAATTGTCATCCTGCCTCTTTTAATTTTGATTAAAGTAATATTTATCTGTGAAATTTAAGTTGTTTTTACATTTTTCATTTTGATATCGTTATCAAAAACATGTCTTTTGATGTCTTACATTTTATAAATCTTCAGCATAAACTGTGATCCATTATTATCTGTCTTTCGAAATAGTATTCATATATTATTGTTAAAATTGAAACATTCATACTTGTTTCTGTGCTTTATTACAAATGTCTATTATATGAATTTGCAAAAAACTTGTCTAAAATTAAAAAAAAATCAATGTGCATAACTTATTTCATCGTCACAAAGTTGTCTCATGCCAATACAATATCTATATATTTTCCCCAGGCGCCTTTTCTTTTCCCCGGGCGCCTTTTCTTTTCCCCGGGCGCTATTTTTTCTTTCCCGGGCGCTTTTTCTTTTCCCCGGGCGCTTTTTCTTCACCCGGGCGCTCCCGGGCGCATTTTAATAGGACCCGGATACCATGCCCCACTCGCACTATCACATTTTCATGTTCAATAAACCACGAAATCTAAGTCAAAACCCTAATTAAGAATATACTTGTAAACTTTTATATCATAATTAACTTGTGTTTTTGATTCAATTAAGTTAATTTGATAACAACTACATGGCAATAATTATTAAATTAAAACAAAAAAATTAACGCGAACTACGAAATATTGGTCAAACTCATATATTTTGGCATATATTTTTAGGAAATTCACTTCATAGTGAATATATATTTAAAAAAAGCAACATCTAACATGAAAAGACGCATATTGTTGGATTGAAATTTCCTGTTATAAAATGTAGAGAGGAACATATATCTCTTCATGCATAGCTCGAATTTCTTCTCTGGATGTTGCTAAACAAAAGGTCCTTGGTTTTATCAGCATTTCACCATTTGTTTTCGGATCATGAAAAATATTAACTGTCGAATTGTGCATCTGTTGCAATAAAATTGGTACCATTAAATGCGCACCCGTGATGCAATAAAATTGGTATCACTGAAAGCGCACATTTGATGCAGTAAAATTGGTACCATAAATTCGCACCTGTGATGCAGCTGAAATGGTATTATTTTTAAATGCGCAACTGTGATGCAGTAAAATTGGTACCATTCAATGCGCTAATGAAGCTGAAAATTTGTTTCCATGTAATGCGCATCTTATGCAGTAAAATTAGTAACATTAATGTTATGAACGCACGGGGGCTCGTATGAATAGATGTTTTTGGGGCGGATGTATATATATATTTATATATATATTAACACAATGTAGAAAGCATACCAGTCGACTGGCATATATTTCCGCCGAAAACATCTCTATGACACGAGCCCCTGTGATTAACGGTGTTAAAATAAAAATATAAATCTTTATCTTGTACGTGACGAATGAATGGACGGACGCTGAGAGCGAAATAAGTAATACCCACCTTCTAAACTGATGTGAAGTTAACAAATTTATTTTATTTATTTATTCTACGTTATGGATTAAAATAAAATAAATGTAAAAATAGCACACAGAGGACTAATTAGTTTCGAACAAATGCATGCATTGGTTCAATAATTTCCTTAAAATTATAATCACCAGTGACTCGATTCATATGACTTTAATATCAATTGAAGACAGTCCTAAAATGAATTCATTTCACAGTACGTAACTTGTTTAATACGATACGTGTTTAATCTATACATGTGCAAGGTCATCGCCATTATGCCATAAACAACATAGTCGAAACACAATGAAAGACTTCACTTGTATCTTGCTTGTCTCATTTTTAAATTGGACAACATGTAAAGCAGGTAATATATTTTCAAGTAAATTTTGCAATCCTTATCAAAAATTATTTGTGTTGTAATAATTAGGACAACATTAGCTATAGATTGTGATATTACATAATGCGGCGGGCCAGATAAGTTGCATATTTGCATGATTACGCAATAAAAACAATTTACGATTGCAGCGTTCAGAAACCCAAAGAATGCAAAGGAAAATCCAACTATATGTCAGAACTGTGCGTTCTCAACCCTTATAGTCAATATTGTGTGCGCTATTTATCTTAATGTAGATAGGGTGTCTTCCTCCATCTTGGATTTTGAAATACCAGAAAACAATCGGTCTAGATCTATAATAAAAGGTCCAAATTTTGAGAGTAGTAGGTAATTCATGTGTAAGAATTTTCATTTCAATATAGAAAATGACATATTTTATCATATTTATGGTTGTATTTTACAAAAAAACAGAATACTTTTGTTTGATTCTATATTTTCCAACTTTGCCACATAAGGGGAGGCAACTCAAATGTAAGGGCAGATAATTCACATAAAGTTACTTTTACTGTAGAATGTGTTAGGAATTTACCTATTTTATTATGTAGCAAGAAAACGGGTCCAGGACCCCATTTTTTCTTTTTCTTATCTGAAATCATACTATTAGAGCTATCTTCTCATATTTTATCTCAAAATTCTATGGTGTAGTTTTCATTTTATGGCAGAAAATTGGGTTTTCCATGCATAATCTATACAAAATCTGTCAATTTTGCACAACCTGTAGCGTGAAAATAAGGCCCGTGACCCATTCTTTTTATTATTTTTTTTAAAAAAGCATGGTATAAACTTCATTTTGGCAAATTATTAAAAAATTCTATGGATTATAATTTAGACACCCAATCTACCTTAATCGATAAATATTTGACGCGTAAATCTATTTTTGAAATAGGAAATCTACTTTCGTTCTAAAAATATAGTGATACATAATATCTGATCTGGGTCCTGGTGGAATTGTCCCTAGCTCAAAGCTGTATCCCTGGTAAACATAAGGGACCCATTTATAAAATTTTCTTAGGCAGACCACGAGTCGGAGAGGCAGAAAAAAAAACACCGCTAGTAACAAAGTCGTATAGCCTGTTGAACTATATAATGGCAACAGACCGCATTCATGCCAAGAAATTGCCTCCGTTGAAATTCTGCAAACACCCCATAGAGCAAATTACATGGATGATTAATAATAAATTAATTTGTTGAATGAAATCAAATCTTTAGGTACTATAATGAGTGCCGTAGGAGGTAGACCGGAATTTTTAGCGAGGATTTCTTGGCATGGCAAGTCACATAATCAATTTCTTAGTGGAGAAGGCAACAACTCTGTTTATATGCGATATTTTAGACGAAATCATCGACGGTTTCGTTTCTTCTTCTGATGAAAATACTACTAAATTTATTAAAGACACGCAGTGTCAGTTAAGACATTCTGAGAATGTACCTAGAAAAGAAGGTATCCATGGTTGAATAAAATCATTAAAACGGAGATCTCATATATATAATTATATATTGGTCTGAATGTAAGTCTGTCTCAAAAGACAAAAACATTTTAAGTGTTTTGGGCCACATAGGGACCCCAAATAATCAGCTGTCAGCAGTGACAAGACATACACTGTAATGACAACACTGAACATAATGATATCATCAATAAACATTCACACATTGCAAAATATTGACCCTGATATTTAATGTGATGATAATGAAGCAGAGTCTGACTCATACTTATAAATGATTACACAATTTTGTTCAATATTAATTACCATACTTCGAAAAATGAAATGCCAACAAGCAATGTCAAAGGCTGAAGATACCTAGTTAACATACAAAACTTTTTTAATAAGTCAAAATTAAACGGTCAACACCATGACAAGAAAAGCAAGATAGCGAAAAGAAAAGTCCACAAATACTACATAAAAATCTTAAAACTTCGCCATACTAACCTCTACAAAAATCGGGGCGATGGTATATGCTATAAACAGATAATTAGTTACTTCCCAACTAGTGACACCAGTTATTACAAGGATAATATTTACGCAAGAGGGCCCACATGTAACCCTAATAGAAACAGTTAAAAATATGTCTCTACCGGCGACAAAAAAAAATGCAGTATTTCGGGTTTAAAGTGAAAGTAAGCTACGATAAGGTCTTACAGGATAAATGATAACAGCTTATTATTGCGGGCATATATACTATATGATTACGAGTTTTCTTAAAAGGTTCAGGATTAAAATATGTTAATAGAAATTGTCATGACAGTGTCAAAAATTAAAAAAAAGAAATAATAAAGAAACGAAATAGATTTTGGTTACTTCTGGTCACCTTATTCATATATTGACTTTGGCTACCTCTGGTCACCTTACACAGATACTGACGTAAGATCATTATTGTCACCTAACTCAGATATTGACTTCGGTTTTCTCTGGTCACCTTACACATATTTTTAATTTGATGCCCTCTGTTCTCTTGATACAGATGTTGACACTGGTGACACAGATATTGATTTCGGTTACCTCTGGTCCACTTACCGATATATTGACTTTGGTTACCTCTGGTCATCTTACACTGATGTTCTGATCACTTAACACATATATATATATATCTAATTTGGTTACCTCTGGTTACCTTACACAAATATTGACTTTAGTTACATTTAGTCACTTGCCACAAATATTTACATTGGTTACCTCTGATCACCTAACACATATATTGCCGTTGGTAACCTCTGGTCATCTTGCACAAATATTCATTTTGGTTACCTCTGATCACCCTTCACAGGTATTCATATGGTTAACTCTAGTCACCTTGCACATGTATTGACTTTGGTTACCTCTGGTAACCTTGCACATATATTGATTATGTTTACGCTTGGTCATCTTATGATGATGTTCTGGTTCTTTTTATACAGGTATTGACTGTGGTCAGGGGCGGATCCAGGATTTTGGAAAGGGGGGGGCGTAGTATGTAAAAATCGCCGAGCGGAGCGAGGTGAAAATTTTTTTGGACCTTTTTTGGGCTACAAAACAAAAAATATGTGTAAAATGCACATTTTTAGTGACGGTTCCTAACGTGGGGTATGTATATTTTATAGTTAAAGTGTAAGCTTGGGTTGGACATTTTTGATGCCGCATTCTCCCCATTAGTTGTCTATTATAAAATGATTGAATGGATCTAAAGCTATGTACTAATATATTTGATGTGGGATTTGTCAGTAAAAAATGGACATGGAAAATTCTCGTTTGTTGTATGGTTAGTTAGCATAACCTCACAGATTACTTGTTGTAAACATGATATACGGCTATTCAATGAAGTTTATAATACGACCGACACGAACAAAGACAAACAAGCAATTTTTATACAAATGTTTGGTTGAAATGTTTCACTCAACAAGGGAAGTGAGGGGTTCCAAATCAACCAACAGCTACGAATGAGTCTGAAAATCAAATGACAACGAAGTTGTGAATGACGATCGACAAATGGAGACATAAAGGCCACACCCAGCAGGCAGGTTGCAGTTGGGCCTTGAAAAAAGTATTCAGTATATCAGTTCGGCGAAACAGACATTCCGGTCAGATATGGGATTTACATGCAAACCCCTCAAAAAAAATTACGCATGTTTTTTATTCACAATGTTCATTTCATGCTGAATAATTCTGTTGGATTTTTTTTTCTTATAGCAAAAAGGGGACACGATAATTGTTTTCATTACACAGATACGGCCAGAATTTTTGTTTAAGGCAAAAATCAGGGTCAGAATTTTTTCTCTAAAATATCTCAGACTGCCCTATCAAATCAAATGGTCCGTACCTTAGACTTTAAACATATCTAGAGCTTACTGACTGGGGATCATTATTCAGCAATGTTATTAATTGGCTGGGGCGTGTGGGGTTAAACATATTTTCGTAGGTAAATAATATTGCCGTGGAACTTTTTTTTTTCATGAGAGTGTAATAGAGTATTACTTTCTGTTGAGTGGAAATATGAAATAGAAGTCAATACGTTCTTGCTCAATCCTTTGTCGCTTTGAAGGTGTCATGCTTGTCATCCTCCGCCTAAGCAATGTGTTGCTGTTATTTGAATTTCAAAATGACTGAGTGACGTTTCAAACGTACTGATCAACTCCACCGTAGCGAAACACATGACTGACATAATCAATAATATCTTACAGTAAATACGAGCGAAAAATATCTTTATAAGTAAAGAATTGTCGCTTAAAAATTAAATACACGACCGGGAAATGGCAAAGTTCACGAAGTCAAGTCTGATTCATCATTTTACAAAAAAAAAAAAAAAAGTTCAAGCAAAAGGGGGGGGGGGGGCGTACGCCCTCTACGCCCCCCTCTGGATCCGCCACTGGTGGTAACCTCTGAGAATATACCCGGAAAAGAAGGTATCCATGGTTAAATAAAATCATTTAAACGGAGATCTCATATATATAATTATATTGCTCTGAATGTAAGTCTGTCGCAAAAGACCAAAAAAATTCATGTGTTTTCGGCCACGAAGGGACCCTTAATAATCAGCTGTCAGAAGTGACAAGACATACATTGTAATGACAACACTGAACATATGGATATCATCAATAAACATTCACTCATTGCAAAATATTGACTCTGATATTGAATGTGATGATAATAAAGCAGAGTCTGACTCATACTTATAAATGATTACAAAATTTTGTTCAAGACTATTTACCATACTTCAAAAAATGAAATACCAACAAGCAATGTCAAAGGCTGAAGATACCTAGTTGACATACAAAACTTAAGTCAAAATTAAACGATCAACGCCATGACAAGAAAAGCAAGATAGCGAAAAGAAAAGTCCACAAATACTACATAAAAATCTTAAAACTTCGCCACACTAACCTGTACTGATACGGTGCTTTTTGTCCGCTTTTGCTTTTTGTCCGATAATTTTGCTTTTTGTCCGACACTTTTGCTTTTTGACCGTTGCTTTTTGTCCGTTTTGCTTTTTGTCCGATA